ACCTGAATAAAAGTACTTCATAATATGTGGCTGTTGGGTTAGATGATGATTTTAATATGCAGGGTCGGGAATTTATTATCATCTTAGTGTCAGTGTGGTGGTTGTATTTGACTTTGATTGGTGGTGGTGTTTATGAGGATGTTTGATCATTGATGTGAATTTTTGTTTGAGAACCTTTTCACAACCGAGTATTGTGAGAGGCTTTGTTGTGTCTGAATGTTCCATCCCTGCTAGTGTAGTGTCCTTGTTAGGTTGTTACTGGTTATTATGATTATGATGGAGGCCAATTGTTTACTCGGTGAAATGATAATGAACTAACTTAGATTAGTAGATGAATCTCCCACTACAGCAGTTGCTAACTTGCTATAGAACCTTAACATAATTATGGTTCAGACTTACTAGAACGGCTAGTGTTACTAATGGAGTGCCTTGTAAGCTGCACAAACTTGGGGTCCCTCAATGAAGAAGAAAGGTGCAGTAATATGATCTGAATGGCCCGAATATATCAAATCCTTTGTATGCAATTAAATCCTCACATTTTTAAGATAACAAAATTATCGCTCGAGTCAGATTCTTTGAAAGAGATCAGCTGAGCCAATATACATAACTCACAGGCTAGATGAATTTCGATGATCATTCGATTGTGTACTTATGTATCAAAGTGAACTAGAAGTGTCGAAATTTCTTTATGTGATTGTGGTTCCCAATTGCTATTCTGAGCTCTCTGTTGGACTCTGGAGCTACGCACAGTTCTAACCTTCCCATGGTTTGGTAAGAGGTGAAATGCAAACTTGGAGGTTGAAGTTTCTCTCTTGACCACATATTTTTTGTATTACTATGGCCATTGGAAGGCCATGATTCTGCATTTAAGCATGTGGTGTTAGTAATGAGTATTGGATGCTGCATGGATTGTTTTACTAATACAAATTTGCAAGCGAAGAAACAATGAATTTGCAGCAGTGAGTCCTCTTGACCACTGTGAATTCAAAAATACAAAAATAATCTCTTTTAATGTATAAATACGATTAACTAGTTTAGATGCGAACCTAATCAGGGACGGATTTACTGCTAACTGTACCTGGGTTGTAGTCCAGATGGGTATAAACATATCCGGCTATGTATGTTATAGTAACACGTTTTGAATTTTTATACTTTAGCCCGAGAACCCAAATCCAACACACATAAAATTAGCCCACCCATCTCAATAACACATAATATGCAGAAGGGCCAATTAAAAGGTTTAGTAGTTAAACCTCACATAGATATTATAATTGATTTAATAATCTAAATTAAAGAGGGACCCGCTGTTACAATATATGTGTTTCGATTACACGCGAATCTGTGAACTGACTGAAGAGCTCAATTATTACAATATGAACTAAACAAGAAATGTAAAATACATTTCGATTGCGAACAAATTAAAACCGAGGCGATTGAAATCTTTTCGCAAGACAAATACGCCCCGTGTAGTGATGACGCGTTTGTGCGTAATGTCTCCAAAGATAAAACAACTAGTTGCTCTAAAGATGTAGTACACCAACTTCAGAGCTCAGACGAACAAGAGTGAAGTTGAGAACTGAGCACTTATGGTATGATGCGTGAGGCCTATTCTAGAGAGTTCAAATACAGATGAGATTTTTTTCTTGTGCTCTGCAGCTTCTGAATTGTCCTATTTATAGGACTTCCAGCCAGAAGGGGATGACTCTTCAGCTTGTAACAGTCAGGCCACTATCAACCATTCATGGTTGTTGATTGCAAAACATTTTCAGGCACTTAACAACCATTCATGACTTTTTTAATTGCTATCAATCTACCACCTGGTAACCAACAATAAGGTGAAAAGACATGTCCAAGTTCAGTGAACCTAATGATGTCACACTCGGGTTGGGTCACAAACTCGAGTCCAACATCCAATTTGATTTTGATTTTCATTTGGGCCTCAAAATTGCAAATACAATTGCATCAAAAAGATATATAGTAGTTGGGCCCAAGGCCCAAACCCAAGACCGGTCCAGTCTGCCCAAGTCCAACCTAAAGTCCAGTTGCCAAGTCCCAAGTCTCAAGTCCTAGGCCGAGCCAAACGAGCCGAGCCGAGCCGGTCGAGCGCGCGCATGTGGCTGAAGCCAACACCAACACTTGGTTCATAGGTTTGTTGTTGTTGTGATCTCTTCAACTTTCTTTATTATAATAAAGCGAGTTAATCTCATTTAAGAGTTTTATGTGGGATTGGACTTTGACCATTTGAATCCCACAACCAACGTTTTGCATGCTTATATGGCTAACTTTAATCAATTATTTTTCATTCACTGGAAATCAATTTTGAGAATATAAATATACCACAAGTATCTACTCGGAACGTATAATTTTTCTACATAATTTAATTAAACATGAATTAAATACTTATCCATAAAAAAATCAGTCAAAACCGAGTCAAACTCAACTTTATATATCAAATTCTCACAAGAATTTATTGCATCGAAAAAGTTAGCTTGTGGATTTGAACCTTTCTTAGTAGACATCATATGATATACTGATGGCAAGAGATCCATAAAGAAAATTATATTTACACAATACAGCCTTAACTTCACTTCGTTCTATTGTTGTATCCGTTTTGGCCATGTACAACACTTTTGGATTCATAAGTGTTTACATTTGAAGCAGCCCTCACTTCCCACTTATATAGGTGAACTTCATATTAAGAGTATCCTGTATTACTCCACTTTTAAAAGATTAGGGATTCACTAAAAATTCAGATGACATACCCTCACCACAATTAACATTTAATCTTGCACTTGGATTACTTTAGGGAAGAGCTTTGGAAATTCTTACCGAGTACGGGATGACTCCCGACCTCGGGTCGATCTCTCGAGGAAGGCGGATCGAAATCTAGAAGTGGTGTTGATAACACATAAACGAAAAATAAATCTAAAACATTCTAATCAAGTGATTGCATTTAATTATCAATTAAGAAATGCATAAAACATAAATCTACCTAAAATGCAAACTAGACAAAGATAAAGAAGCTAGGGAGTCGGGGATGATGATTTTCTAACCAATGCAAATATCAAGCTAAGATCATTCGGTTAAGTGAATTGAACAACCTAACGTCTAAAAATTAGTCCTCAATAACTCTTCGTAACAAGAGGGTAACTTATACGGTACATCAAATAAATCACGCAATACATAGACAATACGTTTCTGAACAAGTCTATTTCAGGCGAGTATAAATTGATCAACTCCTCCCCTGTCTGTTCTAAGAGTTGATTAATTATTCTAGACGATTGTTAATCTACTAGTTCGTTGGATTTAAACACATCACACAAGAACGAATCATATTCAATTGGAAATCAATTGCAAATCGACTCTTCGACAATAATCAACATTTAATGCACGAGAATTATAAACCCTAGTTAAGCACAACTCGCATAAATTGAATGATTAACAAGCATGAAAATCACAATTAAATTCTAAACATCATCATCATCCCCCATCCCTAGAGAAACAAATTAGCTACTGATATGGAATTCAAAATCAACAATCTCAACAATCAAAGTCATCATATTCATGGATTAGATGAAAAGAGAAACTTACGATTCATATAAATCAGATATTCGGGTCCAATGACAAAGCTAAATCTGGAAAAGTAAAGAGAGAATTGTGCAAAAAGAATGATCAAAATCCAAGTTTTAGAGTAGGAGAAAGGGGAAAAACAAGTTTAGGGATTGTTCCCACAAGTCTAAGGATCGTTTTGATATATAGTGCTCGAAAAATGGAGCTAAAAATAAGCAAAATAAAAAATAGGGCCGACTCGGTCGCGACTCACAAGTTGGCTCGCGAGTCGCGAGTCGCCTGGGTCGCTGGGCCGGCAGCAGAGCGTGCGCGCGCGTTGGGGCGCGCTGGAACGCAGGTGCGCGCGGATGGCAGGTAGCGGGTCACGA